TAATAAGAAGCTTTGGTTATCTAACTGAATGTAAGCTTACGTAGTGCATCCAGATTTTAACCATATAATTTTGTTAAACTCAGTTGGCATTCTAAATCAAGTAAGTATGTCAAGGAACCTAAAATATGTGTTGTAAGGTTTGAAATAAAAAATGTAATGAAGATAAAAAGCAGGACTTTCAAAACATACATAGAGAAAAATCAAAAGCAAAAGGGAGAAACGGAAAACAGATTTGTCTTCAATTTTCTTGTGTCAAAAAAAATGTTTACATAGAACCCAACAGAAATCATGTGGAGAATTTACTCTCACAATGGTTCTTTTAAAACATTTTTTAAAAATTCCTGCTCATTGGTAATTAAAAGGCTTTTGTAATTAATTTGTCTAAGAATGTCTGACCCAAGTTTCAAACACCCTTAGCATGAGTAGAATGCAAAACGAGTTATTATTGGAAAGTGTAACGACAGCGTTAGTAAGATTACACCTGTCTGTTTTTGAGACTAAAGTACTGTACTCCTAAAGTAAACGACCTTGGGTTTGGAATTACTCAGAACATTTTCTAAATACCAAAAAAGAAAAATGGCTCCATTTGTGCAAGATTAAATTTATCCCCTTCTTGTTTAATAATTATATTTACAGGAAAATAGAATGACTCTTTGAATTCCTTAGAAAGATATAATTATTAAAACTCTTATATGTAAGAATAGATATTTTTCCAGATGAGAGTAATTACACCCAGAAACTTTTTCAGTTATCATTTACTCTGACTTCATTTTTACTCTGACTTGGTTAAAACATTGTAGTGTATTTATAAAGGTAACACAGCCATCTAGTGGAAACTTTGTTAATAGCTGGTTATTTTACTTGGGAAATGTAAGTAAATGAAAGAAAAGCTTATAAAAGTGCACAAACACCTGCTCATTTTTAATCATGCATCATAGGATGCATATTAGCGAAATATAGAAGTCTAGTCAGGTGTGGTGGCGCACGCCTGTAATCCCAGCACTTAGGAAGCGGAGGCAGGAGGATCATTGTGAGTTCAAGGCCAGCCTGGGCTACAAAGTGAGTTCAAGACC